GATGATGATGATGATGATGATGATGATGATGATGATGATGATGATGATGATGATGATGATGATAGGGGGTAGGGAGAGAGAAAGAGATTTTCAGTCACTAACAGAAGACTGCATTCCCTTCTTCATTCGGCGGCCAGCATACCTTACGTTTTGACGTCAGCATTTTACCAGGGCAATTTATGGTCTAATATATTCCTAAACCATTCAGCTCCACTACAACAAGGGAGTTATGAACTCTCATATATTATGAAGGAAGCAAGATTATGTTTATATACGAAGACACGAGAAACACTTCAACACCTCAATGAAAACATAATATTCATACATATCAACCAGGTGTTCTGAAACTGCATTTTCGAGAAGTATCAGATATTTTTGATAAAAGTCGAAACTGTTTTTTTTTTAAGTCATAAACGTTTCGACAAATTATGAAAGATATTTCAAAGGGTTATTTTTTAAGGTTATTTTCCTAGACTTAATTTAAGCCTTACTCACGAAACAGTACAACAGTACTTTGAGCTACATTCTGATGTAGCTTACTTTATCCAGCACTTGTGCTATTATAAATGGGACTTACCCAGAAGAATCATCTGCTTGAAAGCATATCTGTTTGGACCCAAGATCCGAGCTGCTAAGAGTGACGTCAATTTGATAAACTGACTCATTGTTGAAAGTCACAAAACCAACTGTCACTGAGGAATGGCTGTTGAAGTCAGAACTAGCGTTGACAACACTGATCCCAGTAATCTGTGCCCTGTCAACGAAACAGACAACATTTATGTTTGGTTTCATTTTGTTTAGTTTTGTATTGTTTTGGTTAGTTTTTTTCTTTAGAGACACGACCAATTCGGCACTTATATGACCTTATTTTGTTGCAAGTGCCGTAAAACTCTTTACTAAACTAAACTAAGACACGACCAAGAGCACATCATATAAAAGAGAAATAGAAGATTGCAATTACTAGAAAAAAATCCACAATGAATAAGTCACAGGGCTATCTAAAAAATTATTGTGCAGGATAAAATAAGGGTATCATCATAAAACACTGCAAAATAATATTTTTTAAAACCGGAACGTTCACTAAACTACTAATTAAAAGTTTTCCATTTTTATTCAAATCTCAGTTTGGTATAGATGTAGTACTTACTTTTGCTCTTATGATGACAAGATTAAAAGAAAAAAGCCACAACATTCGTAAACCACCTTGACTAACATGACTGTCATCTTTTATGATACTTTATAAAGAGTTAGAAAAGATTTTTGATAGTAGTAAAGTGTTCAATACATTTATCTATTACGAACAGCATACAAATGTAAACATGTACGTGCCCAAAGGGGACAATTGGCACCATGGTTTCTCCAGCTTCTATCTCATCATTCATAAAAGTGATTCATTAATGCTCTATTTGCACACACCTCTGTCTGTCTGTCTGTCTGTCTGTCTGTCTATCTGTCTGTTTCTTATATATATAT